GAATCATCCTCGACTCCTAGTCCTGTCTAACTTGATGCCTCATTGGCCAAACAGTACTTTATTTATCATCCAGTAAGACAAACACATACACAGAAGCACTTGCCCCATCAAGCACCCCTCCCTATGTCTTCTGATTGGTGTGAAATCTATTTTGTTAGCTATTAAATGGATACATGAGTTTGCTTCTTAGGTCCTTTTCCTTGAAATAACTTTTTTGAGCTCTTTACCTTGAGGTAATGTCTATCCTTGATGTTCAAGTGTTTTTCTTAGATGCAACAGGAGGATGGATCTACTTTTTGCATCCAATCTGTTAGTCTTTTTTTTTTAAATTGGGAAATTGAAACCACTGATATTGAGTGATATCAATGACCAATGATTGTTGATTCCTCTTATTTTGTTGTTGTTAATTTTGCTGTTGTTGGTGGTGGTGTGTGTTCTATTTCCCTTCTTTTGATTTTACCAGTCTGGATTATTTATTCCCTGTGTTCTCTTATCTGTAGTTAATCTTTTCAGATGGGAGTTTTTCTTCTAGCACTTTCTGCAGGGCTAGATTTTTTAAAAGATAAATATTGTTTAAATTAGACTTCATTATCAAATATCTTATTTTCTCTATCTAAAGTGATTGAAAGTTTATTGGGTATAGGCATCTGTGGTGACATATGTGGTCTCTTTGAGTCTGTAGCACATCTGTATGGGCCCTTCTGACTTTTAGAGCTTCCATTGAGAAGTCAGGTGTAATTCTAATAGGTTTTCCTCTATATGTTAACTTGGTCATTTTTCCCTTGCAACTTTTAACATTCTTTCTCTCTTCCATACATTTAGTGTTTTGATTATTATCTGATAAAGGGACTTTCTCTTCTGGTCCAATCTATTTGGGGTTCTGTATGCTTTTTGTACCTTTATGGACATCTCCTTTACATTAGGAAAATTTTCTTCTTTAATATTGCTGAAAATATTTTCTGATTTTTTGAGTTGGGATTCTCCTTCTTCTATCCTAATATTCTTATGTTTGGTCTTTTCATAGTATTGCAGATATTCTGGATGTTTTGTGTCAAGAGTTTTTAAAAATTTAACATTTTCTTTGTCTGATGTATCCATTTCTTCTCTCATATCTTCAATGCCTGAGATTCTTTCTTCCATCTATTGTGTTTTGTTGGTGAAGTTATCTTGTGTAGTTCCTGTTTGATTTCCTAAGTTTTTTATTTCCAGAATTCCACCAATTTGGGTTTTCTTTATTGATTCTCTTTGCCTTATCAGGCTTTGAATTATCTTCTTTTTCTTTCCACTGTTTGTTTTTTCCTTTAGTGAGTTATTCATTTCCTCCCATTCATTGTGTTTTCCTAGATTTCTTTAAGGGATTTATTCATTACCTCTTTAAGGACCTCTATCATCTTTATAAGGGGATTATAACATAGTTTCTTGGGCTCCAGCTATGTTGGAATGCTCAGGGTCAGCTGTAGTAAAGTTTCTGGGCTCTAGTAGAGACATATTGTCCTGGCTGTTAATGATTGTGTTTTTATGTTGGCATCCAGGAACCTGGGGAGGGGGTGATCATAGTTCTAGGTGCTGATATCTGGCTTTGTCTTTGTGGTGTGAATGTTTTGTTTCTTGGTCTCTGTTTCCTCCCTTGGCTTTAGGTGAGCATGCAGACTGTGTTGCCTAGTAGGAAATTATCTGTGGGTTTGTTTCCCTGGCCATGGGAGCTGGTGTGCTCCCATGGAGTGCCTGCTGGTGTTGGGGGCAGGGATAAAGGGATGTTTTGGAGGAAGGTAGTTTGGAGGAGATCATTGTGGTTCGTTGGGCATGGGGTCAGGGGGGGGAATGGAGAACACGCCATGCATTCTTCTCCAGAGCATGGGATGAGACCCGGCAGTGGTGAATTGGGAACAGCAGAAGGAGAGAGTGAATCCTCTGGGCAGGAGGGATCTTTGTGGTAGGAAGGGGTGTCTTCTGGGGAAGACCTGGGGGATCCACAGGAGCTGGGGTAGGGGAAAGTTTTCCATTGCAGTGTTGGGGTGAAGCTGGGCATTGGGCCTTGGGAAACAGAGAGAGGTAAAGATCTGCAGTCAGCCTCCCCGTTCCCTGGCAGGAGTGGCCTATGGGTTAGCCGAGAGAGTGCAAATTAACTTTCTTAAGAAACAATGGCAAAAACAAATGTCATCATGTGTGAACTGCCATGAGCTTGGGAGGGTCTTGGGTAAGGGATGCATTTATCTGTGAGCACTGGTGACATGGGGCATGTCTTGACACACTTGGCTCACTTTCTTGTTAAATTGTAAGAGACATCAAACTTATTAGTATTCATTTGAGCCAAGAAACCAGCCATGATGGATATATCCTGGAAGTATGGAGTTTCAAAACTCATCAGTACAGTCCACGGTGTAGACAACAGGAGGCTGGTCATGGACTCACAGCCTGATGGGTGACAGCTCTGCTTTTCCCTAACTTGGCCATGCTGAAGTAGTTGTCAGCCTGGGGTAGGCCAACTGCTCTGAGTGACAGATTTCTTCTTCATCAGAAGAATATAACCTAAAATTACAGTGTGCTTTAGTTGCCTGCTGTGTGTGGTTGGTTTGTTACATATAGAAGCTTCCTCAGTCAAATTTAATCCAGATTAATGGACTCTATGGGATGTAAACATGGAAATTTTGTGTTCAAGTTTCTTATTTTTTGAAACAAGGGAGGTTCTAGAAACAATTCCTTAGCCTTTAGTGCCACTCTCCTCATACTAGGGTTGGAACCCATGGCTTGGTGTTACTGTGTTAAGCAAGTTCTCTTCAATAGAGCCCATATCCCCAGTCTTATCCTTGTGCATTTTAGAAGATGTTCTCCTGCTGAGCCTGTGTAGCCTCATCCCCCTCCCTGAGGGATTTTAGGCAAGTGCTCTCCTCCTGAGCCATGCCTCATCCTGGAATTGTCTATTCTTGAGTGCCAAGTGACTTCAGTGACCCAGGGCTCAGTCCTGCTCCGTGAACAGTCCCAAGTCTAGAAAGGCAGGAATGTGGAGAAAAGGGTCAGAGACAAATAGACAGTAGAGGGCTAAGGACATTGAAACACATTGCAAGAAAGAGAGGTAATGGGGAATTAACAATACGGAGCCAGGTAAAAATACAAGGGATTTTAATAGGGAAAAGCCTTACTTACAGAGCGACTTAGCCAGCTGGCGAGCAGCAGTCTGTACAGCAAGCCAAAAGTGAAACCAAAAGCAGAAACCCGCCACCTGAATGTCCCTCACTCTACATCACCCTGACCATGCCCTCGCAGACATGGTCAGGCACACCTGTAGCCAGCTCCTAAGCAGGCGGGGCCACAGCATCCCCTACAGAGAGGCACACGGAGAGACACAAGGAAGCTACATTAGGAGGAGATATGAGGTAGGATTCAAAGAGTGCACATGAGACAGAAGAGAAGGCAGGGAACTGGAGGTGGAGGAATGAGACAAGAAGAGAGGAAGGGGAGAGAGAGGGAACGGCCAGATAGACACAACTAGCAGTAGGCTAAGGAACATGAGGGAAGACCCGGAAGGAACAGGTGGCAAGGTGTCCTTAGACAGAGAAAGGGGAGGGGTTAAGATGCTATCTGGGAAGTTTAGAAAGACACAAGTGGGTGGAATAGATCAAAAGGCACACAGTGGAGATAGTTACAGGTTCAGGTAGGCTGCCATTATCAGAGAGAGAGAACGAGAGAAAGAGGTAGCCAGAGACATGAATAGTGTTTCTTAATGGCCGCTCCAGGCTTGGGGAATTTGTGCTGAGAGTGAGATGAGCTACTAAAAGTTGCTCTGCAAAAATCTGGGTCACAAAACCAGTCTAGTTGGACCATCTCAGAGAGCTACTCCATGGACTTCTGAGCTCATGTCACCTAAATTCTGGAAAGGACGTTTCCAAAGGGATAGGGTACTTTCCCTAAATACTCCCACACAGGCACAGGCTCCCAACATCTGGAGGGCACAGCAGTTGCTGTGAAATCCCTCCTACACCCAAGCAGCCAGCTGAAGGTTATAAATCTCCGAGGTACAGGGCAGGTGTGTTGCCTGTGCCTGGATTTTCAGGCTCCCACTCCTCTGTGGTGCTCAATGCCTGAGGTGACAAACCACCTGGGCTCCTTGTTACACCTCTGAGAATCCAGGTGGGTGCCAGAGGCCCCTCACCGTGTGACCCTGCCCATTCTCAATTGTGTGTCTGGGAACTTGTTGAGATTTATTGATTTCAAGTTGAAGAAGCAAAGGGGGCAGAGAATAAGAAAAAAGGTAAGAGTAGGAATAAATGAGGAAGAGACAGCTATTGCTAAGTCCATCATCTTCTTGCTGCAGTCTCCCGAGTGTTGCTCTTACAGGCACGTGCCTCCATGTCTGGCTCATATCCGACCCTTACCACAATGCAGTTGTTAATCTAGGAGTTAAGAAAACTAAAAACTCCAGGGCAGCCCAATGAGATGGGTACCAATCCCCTCACATGAGATAGGAGGGACACTAAAGACTAAAGACATTGCACAATACATGTGGACACTTGCACGCTTTGTTACTACTCTAAGTGGGGTCTTACAGTTCTGGATCAAGGGACACTGATAATCTAATAAAAGCCAGAAAACTGTCAGAAATGACCATGAGACATCCAGCAACAATTTCTCTGGGGTTTTATGATTGACTTATTACATATGTGTTTGCATGCATATACTTGTGTGCTGTGCTGTTTGTGTGTGTTTACGCCAGAAGACAGACTGTGGGGGTTGGTTCTCTCCTTTCAGCATGTGGATTCAGGGGATTGCACTCATGTCCTCAGGATTGATGGCAGGCTCCTTTCCATGCTAAGACATTGGCGCTGGTTCTTGAACCAGTTCTTTAAGGTTTTGGGAATCTCTTAACATTGTCACTTGAATTACAGGTTAAGAGTCAAACATTCTTCATTGCAATGGCCAGGGTTGTCTGGGTTTAGGGATGGGACAGCCGGAAGGTTGTATACTGCCCTGGGGCTCACATGGCTCATCCTCTGTGCCCACAGGAAAGCGCATTTGTCTTGGAGAAGGCATCGCCCGCAATGAATTGTTCCTTTTCTTCACCACCATCCTCCAGAACTTCTCCTTGTCCAGTCCCGTGGATCCTAAGGACATTGACCTCAGTCCCAAGGAGAATGGCTTTGGCAGAGTGCCCCCAACATATAAGATCTGCTTCTTGGCCCGATGACTGGCCCAATGACTGAGATGGTTGGGTGTCCCCACTCCCGTTGAGAATGTCCCTAGCTCTCTGAGTCTAAGAGAACTGTTGGAAACCAGGCCGTAGGTCACTGCTCACATTCTGCCACCTTACTGCAGCTTCTCCAAAAAACCACCAGTGTGTTCTTCTGCCCTGTGAATGGTACTGGCAAAATCAATCAAGAGATTGTGTCAACAGAGAGATTTCTGGAGGCCACATCTCATACAGAGTCACTCCCCTATCGCTCTCAACAGCCACAGTCCCCACGTAACAGCTCGAGGTGCACCATGAAGTCATCTAATGGACTCTGTTTGTGATCTGAATTCTGCTTCTATGAATTTGCCTAATATGTATTGTTCACATAAACAGAATCATATGCTTTGTGACCTTTTGTGTCTGGTGTCTTTTAGTTACTCAAGAAGAACAAGGTAATGTGCTTTCATATGTTTCCATCATGGTTTTCCAGAGGCCTCCCTCTCCCATAGACCCTGAACTCTGTGATTCTGAACACAGACCTCAGGTTCCCATACGATCTCACAAGAATCACAATAATGGCTTCATTAGTTAGGGTTCTCCAAAGGAACTGGAATGACAGAATCAATCTGTCTGTCTGTCTGCCTGCCTATCTATCTGCCTATCTGTCTATCTATCCATCTATCTATCATCTATCTATGGGATTTATTAGACTGGCTTACAGGCTGTGCAATGTTAGTGCATCAATGACTGTCCCATAATGAAAAGGCTGAGAGAATTGGATATTTTTTTTTTCACGCAAGAGTCTGTAAGCTTCAGCTGTCCCCACATGGTGCCACAGTCCTGGAAGATGCCTGGAGAGCTGATGGTTTTCAGTCTCTGTTGAAATCCAGAAGAATTTGGATTTCATGCCAGACCCAATAACAGGTTAGATGAACTTGAGTGAGAGCAGGCAGGCAGCCAAAAATCCTTTCCTTCTGCCCTGGATCCAGTTCATTTTAGGCTGTCTGTTTTTGCCTCTTTGTCTCCTATTTCTAGATAGAGATAGGATGTTATATGAGAGTAAAATAATTTCAGTCTGTCTGTCTATATGTGTTTCTCTGTCTGTCTCTTGCCCCTCTCTCTATTCTTTCTCTGATACTATGTGATCAGTGATAAGTTCCCATATCAAAGGGATAGCCCAAACTACCAAAGAATTTCAACCTAGGAACTAAATGATGAGTTTTATCATGCCACAGCCCGACTCCTGGTACCAACTTTCTGCCTTGGTTGCTTTCTCTGTCAATGTGGCTAAATATCTGTTCAGAAGCAAATGGAAGAATAGATTTATTTGGGGTCAGTTTCAGAGAGAAATGCAGGGCGGCTGAGCCTCTAGGTTTGCTGTAGGAGCATGTGGCAAGCGGGAAGGAGAGAAAGGGGCATATAAGGGAGAGGTTCTCTCAAGTGACATACTTCTTTCTGACAAGTCTGAGAACATCGAAAAAACACTGTTGGTTAGAGATCCAGCATTCAAATGCATGGGAGTTGTGGGAAACCCTGCACATTCACGGTCTAACCTTGGGACTTTGTGACGAGATTGATGTCATCATCATAGGAGTGGGTCCTCTATGGGCGTGTTCAGTCTCCTTTTCAGCTCTCCCAGTCTTAGGCACAGTTGCTTGTCCCATGTCATTTTTACAAGGCCTCAGCAAATGCCTCTTCAGACACCAGGGCTGTGTTCTTAGAGACAGCCGCTTCCAGAAGCACAAATGTAAACTGTCTATAAATTTAACTTCCCAGTCTCTAGTGCTCTGCCTCAGTAGAAAACAGAGTAAGGCAGACCCAGCATCCTGCAGCTCAGAGTGAGATGGGTTAGGGGGAAGACCAGAGAGCTTCTCATGGTGGGAGGCAGCCAGGAGCAGGAAGTGATCGCCTGTCACAATGATCAGAGGCCCAGAGGTTCCCACTGCTCCTCTGCCAGGCTGAGGCCTCTCTCTCCACCTGACTGCTGAGCCTCGCCACTCCTTTTCTCTGGTCTCCCTTCTTCTCCTTTTTTCTTCCATCCGTGGCTGTCACAGGCCAGAGAGTAAAATGGAGACTCTGGAGAAATCACATTGACAGTGTGGTAGAAACATGCAGAGATTTGCACAGTAACACGCAACTCCTGCTCCTGTCACTGAAGTTACACAAGAAATTGAGAACATATGGAGTAGTCACACGATGCCAGAATGTCCTTGTGAGCCACATGTGAGTTGCTTATACCCTTTATCTAAATATTCAGGAGGAAGAGGCAGGCAGTTCTCAGAGTTAGAGGCATGTCTACAGAGTGAGTTCTAGAACATCCATGGCTACCCAGGGAAACAATTCTTGGAAAACAAACCAATACAGAGACACCCACCCCACCACAACACACACACCTAAAGGGACACACAAACACACATGCATGCACCTATGGAACACACACAGTCAATAAACAGGCAAAACTGAGCTGACAAGTACACACTCACCCCCAGAAATCAAGATGCCTTACTCCCAATGTTCTTTTGTCTTGTGGATCTGTTTCATTGTCCTTGCCAGCATCTACGGGATAAGGAGTGAGCAGTTCACCGCCATCTCAAGCAGGAAATTTGGGTGCTCACACTCCTGGTCAGCGATGAGACAGGAGGCGGGAACAGCTGAACTTGCTCAACTGAGTGGAGAGGCAGGTTCAGCATAAAAGGTCCTGCTGGAGTGTGCAGTGACGTGGACGGTGACCAGATCAGACCATGGAACCCAGCGTCCTGCTCCTCCTCACTCTCCTTGTGGGCTTCCTGCTACTCCTAGTCAAGGGCCACACAAATGCCCATGGCCACCTCCCACCAGGACCCCGTCCCTTGCCCCTCTTGGGGAACCTCCTGCAGATGGACAGAAGAGGCCTCCTCAACTCCTTCATGAGGGTGAGACTTACACAGGGCCTGTGCCCTATGGCTGAGCCCCATATTTGCCCTTGGAGATCACTCAGCTGGATGAGCAAGGGACCCCTTCCACACCCTAGGTTCAGGTGGGAAGGTTGCTGGGTGAACGGCGAGAGGCTGATTGGTGATGGGTGGTGCTCAGATTGTCAAGTGTGTCCTCACTATTCTGGAATCATGTGTGGTACTGTGCTTGGTGTATGAAAGGGGTCAGGGTAAGGAGGTGTGCCCCAAGGGTTTACAATTTTCCTCTTTGATGCTTCTTTGTTCCATGAGAGAAAGAACAATGTCCAAGGCATCAGCAGCTAAGCTTTGCTTCTACCAGCACAAGGGATTAGCCTGCTGTGCTCTGGAACAAAGGGGAGGAGAGGCAGGTCAGGTGGTGGGGTAGGTAGGGAGTGCTTATCGGTTAGAAACACCATGGACCTTCCAAGCAGCCGACCCTGGCACCATCTTTATCAGTCTTCACCGGTGATATTTTATGTTCAATAACTACTTGTTTATTAATAATCAATTAGCACCCTTGGCCCCTTGGTCCATTTAGATGGCTGATCTACTGGCAGCAATCCTGACTTCCTGCTACTCTTTGTTTTTGAATGTATCACTCACCTGACCAATGATGCACTCATGTATTTTTGTTTGGCTTTTGAGACAAGGCTGCCCTCATCAATGTCAAACTTACGATTCTCCTACCAGTTTCATATAACAGCTTTGATCAGCTCTGTAGATTGTTAGTTCATTGTTGCGTAGGATTCGATGGCGTAACCCAGCCTGAAAATGTAAGTAGGTCAATACGAAACACATAGAGCTTTTTCTTAGCATTGTCTCCTAAACGTTGGGCACTGACCATTGTCATAGCATTTCCTTTCTAGTAGCTGCATTGCAATCTAGTGAGTTAAAGGTTACCAGGGGCTGATGGTGGGTTATGTGCAAACATTGCATCATTCTCTTCCAGGGCTTTCAGCGCCAATTCCCTGTAGCTGCATAGATGGTGGCATTGCCCGGTATTTTCCCATCTGTCTGTACTGTAGTCATGACTCACATTTGGGACCACTAAGTAGGTGACTCTCACTTCCCCTGCCATGTAACCCAGTGAGTGGGTCAGGGTTGTTCTCTCTGAATGTTGTCAGCATGGTTCTTGATGGAGATTCTAGGGAGAGATGCCCAGACTGTATGGTGCCATCAAGGTTCTAGATCTATATTCGTATCAGCATCCATATCTATACCTGATCCATATCTATTGATTTTCTTTGAGATATGGCTTTAGGTAGCCCAGGTTGGCCTCTAACTAGATAGATACCCAAACATGACTACTGGTTCTCTATGTCCCCAACGCTAGGATTATAGTCATATGGTTAGAGCACCCACCCCCAAACTCTACTGTTCTGCTATACTGATTAAAATATCCAGACCATCAGTGTAGACCCTGCATCACTGGTGAATTAACTCTTCAACTCCTAGGTTCCCAGAAGTGGAAGGGTGGCCAGAAGAAGGGGGTTCGTATTTATCAGTCTGTATATAAGTTAACAGTGTAACAACACATCTGCACTGACTAACCACAAACCTGGTGCCCTTATGCTTGGCAGCTTCGAGAAAAATATGGAGATGTGTTCACAGTGCACCTAGGCCCAAGGCCTGTGGTCATGCTGTGTGGGACACAGGCCATAAGGGAAGCTCTGGTGGACCAAGCTGAGGCTTTTTCTGGCCGAGGGACAATTGCTGTGTTTGAGCCAATTGTACAGGGATATGGTGAGCTATGTCACAGGGTGGATTAGAGGATGTGGTCCAGGGAGGTGAGAGGTGGAGTCCAAGCTGTGGGGAAGGACTCAGGGTCTGTGTAACTCTTCCATGCCTTCCCTACTTTCTTAGGTGTGGTCTTTGCCAATGGAGAACGCTGGAAGGCCCTTCGGCGATTCTCTCTGGCCACCATGAAGGACTTTGGGATGGGGAAACAGAGTGTGGAGGAGCGTATAAAGGAGGAGGCCCGGTGTCTGGTGGAGGAGCTGCAGAAATCCCAGGGTGAGACTCTGAGAATGGGCATAAAGAAGATGGTGATCTGGCTGTACAGCCAAAGAGAGAAAAAGAGATACACAGGGTAGAGAAAACACAAACACACACACACACACACACACACACACACACACACACTCACAGAGAGAGAGAGAGAGAGAGAGAGAATTAGAGACAGAAGAGAGGTGTGTGTGTGTGTGTGTGTGTGTGTGTAAAGCAGGTATGTACAAAGGTGTGGATAGAGAAATACACAAACATATAAAGAAATGTGAGTTTCATTTTGTGCACAAATATCTCAGAGACATAGATTTATCATGGTGGTCACTTTTGTCCAGAAACAATCAATCCGTGGATTATTAATTTTCTATGTCAGTTGGGTATGGTGATACACACTGGTCTTCTCAGAAGCAAGAAAAGGTGGTCATCAATTCAAGGACAGTCCTGTCTACATTGTGAGGAAGAGAAAG